CGACGCACATCTCTTAAGGGTGGTAAGAGTAAGTCTTGGGCTGTGTAAGACTTGAGTTGAGGCCTTGTTGAAACCGTATGGAAATTGACTGGGTTCAATTCGATTTCCTTTGGGCCTTATTTTCATTAAGATGGCCTCATATTTGCTATTTTATTTCAAACGCAACAAATATTTCTAAATACATAGATATTTTCTTGGTCCAATACTTACTTAATTTTCTTGAATTTGAGATGTGTTCAATTTTTTTTTATTATAGTATAACCGATAATCTAAACTATAAGGAGATGGAGTTTTCTCATATACACTATCAAAGATGTCAATGGGGGTTCGAACATTCAATCACTGATCTAGAAGTCAATGTATTTTTTCACTAAGTTAGACTTCATTAGTAAAATAACGTTCAATATTAAGAATAAAGGAATAAAAATACTATAAGATCAGGTTTAATTTGTCAAATTTCTAGTACTGGGGACATTTTGGAAAAAGCAAAAGGAGAGAGAAAATTTTTAAAAGAAGCAAAAATGGACAAAAATGCCCTTATTTATTTTTAGATTTCCTAAGGAATTCAATACATTTGCATGTCTTTGATTTGAAAGTTGAGTGGTTTTTTTGTCTTTTTTGAAAAAGCTTTGGCTTTTTCCAAAAATGAAAATTTTTTTATGTCTAAAACCTAAAAAACCTTTATAAATAATTACCAGGTAGCCAATGTCACCCCCCATAACCATTTTCGTCAGTCTGGATATTGCCCATATTCTATTACATCACAATGGCTCTCAGCAAAAGATACAGCAACATGTGCAAAAGATACAGCATTGCAATGATTTACAGCTAGCAATAACAAGCATTGCATCACAGAGAAGAAAAACAAGTAGCAAGTAGTGGTGTAGCACGCAAATTTATTGCTTCCCAATCTTTTATTGCATTATGCAGACATGATTTTGGCAAGTGATAAGATTCTGTTTCCAAGATGTACCGAATGTAGAAAATCTTGTTGCTAAATAAGACCATAGCTAAAGTGGATATGAACCAAATCTTATTTTGATTTGCTGTATGAATTTCAAGGCAAAAATTGGTAGCCTTTTCTCTTCTTTTTCTGGTAAAATCCTTGCTGCCCACGTCTCTGCATTAATTGGTTCAACTCAACAATCCAAATCCACTGATATATAGCTGAAACAAGTTTCCTATATATTCATACTGGGACTGGCCCATGGATCATTTCCTTCTTGTTGTAATGAGCCAAACTCCAATGCGGTTCTTCTTTTTCTCCCCCTCCTTCCAAATTCCAACCCAACCATTCCCACAGGACACTGCAAGTTTTAAGACCCTGGTTGAAATTGGATTATGAATCATCTCAGGTCTTGCATGTAAGTATGAGATAATATATATGTGATGCAGCCAAGGATGACTTGCCGGCGGCTACTACTTCTCTTGTTTATAGGTACATAAAATTTTCATCAAATGTGACAACTTTGTTTCTAACCATGCTCTGCAATTTTAGCAAGCAATAGAAACAAGGAGCCTTCTGTTATGCACACTGAAATTAGCAAGAAGAATGAAAACACTAATTTAATTTGTTTTGTATCCAATACCAGATGGTCCAAAAGTTTTATGTGTTTGTAGTAGAGATAATCGGCAAGTTGTCCATGGCTACATGTCTATCTCATGCTTACATGTTAGATCAATGATGATAATGATAATGAAGAGGGAAGAAGCCCTGATTGAATGATGTACAAGGCAGTAAGTTTTCTCATTTTTGCTTCTATAAAAATCCCAACTTTCTCATTTGTGCTTTTTTGCAAGTACTTTATGACAAAATGATCCCATGTTTTTCCTTTTTCATTTTTTGATCAAATCCCATGTTTTTTTGTTGATTATATGGCATTTTCATGGTGTTTGTTATGTAGATGATGGTCAATTTTTATTTTATTTTTCCCAATTATAAAGATTTGTGAAGTAGTGCAGGTCCAAAACAGCAAACAAATTTCTACTTGTCAAGATTTCACTAAGCAGAAAGTCCTGTAGCTCATGACATATTGTTGCTTCTTCCTCCCTTTTGAGCCAAGGGGTAAGGTTTTCAGGTCCATTTGGTTAGGCCCTGGAGCTGTTTGCATTGCATGTATTCATGGGAAATTTGGACTTGCTGTCGTTGCCAAGTTGCCTTGGGCCTAATGGCGCCTTTTTCTTGACATACATTTTCAACCTAAAAGACAACATATTACATATGTTTAAACCCTAAGCCACCAAACCCACTAAAACAGTGACAGCATTCTCCACAAGCATAAAGATCATGACTTCACTTAGCAGTGACTTGATCATATTCCTGATTGGCCAATTTCCTATGACCCTGGCATGTCACCAAGAGAAAATTAGTAGCACAAAATTTGCACAAAGCCTTGTCCTAATGTCATGGCATTATCTGTTCATTGTTGGAGTTGGCAGAAGGCTCTTTGTTCAGAATTAAATATACAGCAAGTGAGAGCCGGTGGGATTGCCTTTGTCACTAAACTCCAGCTTTACCAGTGAGATGTCATCATTCAGCCTATCACAGGCTTACATATGGCATGCTCAGGAGAAGCATACATACACAAGGCAAGGCATTGAAACCCAACATACAAATTACTATAAATGCATGCCTTCCCCTGTATCTATCTCCACAACAATATCATCAGTCTATCAAGTACACAGTACAATTTCAAAACTCCCTATACTTTCAAAGAGAAAAACTAAGTAAGAAAAATGAAGGCAGGAGGAGCAGTTGAGGCTACTGATAAAGAAGCCTCAAAACCAATCCCAATCCCAAAAGTAAGGGTGAGCAGAGTGCTCTCTGTTCTAGACTTCACTCTGCGGGTAATTGCAGCCCTTGGAACATTGGCAAGTGCAATAGCTATGGGAACCAGCCGGGAAACGCTTCCCTTCACCGCGCAGTTTGTTCGATTCAGGGCTCGTTACAAGGATCTTCCCACGTTAACGTAACAGTCTTTAATCTTTGCAAAAATGATTGAACTACTATTTTCTTTTCCTCAAGGAAAAAAGGCTAAAAATTCGCACATGTGCTTTCATGTCACACAGGTTTTTTGTGATTGCAAACTCAATTGTATGTGTCTACCTTGTGCTTTCTCTTCCTTTATCCTTTGTCCATATCATCTGGACTGCAGCCAAAAACAGCAGGATCGTCTTGATCATCTCTGACACGGTAATATATGCTACCTTAGCTGACTATTCACTCATATATATTCTCTGCCAAATTCTCAATTATATGTACTCGAATTTTGTGAAGGTGATGATGGGGCTTGTAACTGCTGGAGCTTCAGCAGCAGCAGCCATAGTGTACCTGGCACATTATGGCAACTCCAGCACCAACTGGTTTGCATTTTGCCGGCAATTCAACAGCTTCTGCGAGCGCATTTCTGGGTCTCTCATCGGCTCCTTTGTTGCCATAACTGTACTCGTACTCCTAATCATCATGCAATCTGTGGCAATCTCTCGACGCTGATGTGTTGAAAGGAACTGCTGGTTGGTATTAATGTCATCTTTTCGTGTGAATACAGTACATGGGTTTGTAAGTGTGTGATATGAAAAAATTTGCTCCTAGTACCTTTCATTTACACAACATAAAATGTACGTTCTGTATATTTATTTAAAGCAAATCTGCAAAATCTTGTTAACATTTTTCTTTTGCCATACTGCAATGTTGTCTACCGCTAATTAAAACCAACATTTGTCGCAATGAATTTATGCATAGGTGTGTGTATGGATGACAATATTGATTTGTATGCACACTTAAACCTAATTAAAGAGAATGAGTGTGATACAATAAAATGCCATGGTTTATCCTTGTTCTGATTTTTCACCCTGAAACTTCTTAATCTGCATAGGCATAGGGTATGCATGATATTATCATGCAATTTTATTTTTTCTTTCATGAGGAACTTCTTGATATTGTGATCACATATACTCGATGTATATGTAGGCAGCAATGGGATGACCCTTGGCACATCTTTAGTATGAAAATAAGAGTAAAGTATCTTCAAGTACAACTGTACAACATACAGACCATTAGCACATATTACGACCACAAATCCTTTAATCATCTTGCAATTACATGAAACTTATATCTTAGATATTGGAGGAAATTAAAAATATGTGATGAAATAGCTTTCTTACATATGATTTTTGGCTTTTGACATTATAGCTCATTCTAAGCAACTGCAAAAATTACTCACAAAAAGGGCTTTTAACATTACCATAACTAAACCGTCTCGGCACATGAATCCTTTAGTTTTTATTCCTGTTTGGGCACATACTTGTAGGATATTAACTGTTTTTCTTTCAGTTAGATCTCATATGCCTTCTCATCTGTGATAGAGATTTGGCAACATATATTCTAGTAGTGGCATTACCGTTGCGAGAGCTCTAAACGAGCCATGTGCTTTTATCTATCAACTAACCATGCGCTTTTATATTTACCCAAATATATTTGGTTTCAATCCAAAGCATTGAAATTTGCAATCATGTAGCTCCAAATAAAAACATCCAACACCTCGTACTAGGCCAACATCGCCACCAGATCATCTATTGATTTCAATGTCTTCTCGTAGTATAGGTACGATTCATACACCTTTGGCGTTCGAACATAATAATCAAACTGCAATACAAACATAATCACATTCTAATCAGATTAAAGAAAAAAATCACCAATATATAAATACACACACAATATACTTTAGAGTAACAAATCTACCTCTGTCATGTTATTCACCAACTCATTGGCCGTCTTAACATACTCTTGACGGCGAACATCTGGCACCAGAGTTGCCGCATTTTTCAGATCCTGAGAAAGATAGGCCGACTTTAGGCGAATGTAAAATATGACATACCTCCAAGCCATGGCCTCCAACATGTCCCTAATGCTGTGCAGCCCTTCAGCTGTTTGCTTAATTCTAGCCACTGCATCTTCTGGAGACAATCCGGGCTCAAAAAAACGTTCCCTTATAAACGAACGAGTGCCCCAATTCTCGGCTAGTCCAAGTGGGGTGGCAATGCCATGTTGGTGCACCCCAATTGCCAAGGAAGTGCCTAAAAATGTTGTCACAATTTTTCTTCGACTTGTGGCATTGTTTTCTTCTTCTTCTGCTCCTGGAAGTGAGGCTTTGATGGCTGGGAGTGAGATTTTGCAGAGGTAGTTTTGGGGTTTGGTGATTTGGGCATGGAGGAAGGTTGTGGTGGTGTTGGTGAAGCTGCTCATGGCTTCTGCTTAAATGCAGACAAATTTCCAATATTTCATAGAAGTATGATGGTTTTTGTGGATTCTTGGGCAGGTTTTTGTGGCTGACCATGTTGCCCGTTAATCCAACATGGACCTCACTTTTTGCCACGTGGCATTCATTATCTTGTTTTTGGGTGAGTGAGGGAGAAGTTTAGGTGGGCTCCACCCACATCCAAAAGGCCAAAAAAGATAAAGAAAGAGGCCCAAACCAGGAGGCTGGCTTGAGTTGAGACATTGGGTCATTTTTGGCTAACAATATTAAGCCCAAACTCCTTTTCATAATAAATTAATAAATTAGTTTGGCTCTTTTCTTTCTGGGTCAAATTCGTTCGGCTGGTGGTGAGATTGTTTTCAGTGGAGATCGAGTCTTTGGTTTTCTTGGTATTGTCTGATCATAAATAAATTCAAGGGTTCTTTTGTGAACAAGCTAACTAGACGAGGATTCATTAACTTGGCGGGTGAGCTTCAGTTGTTTGTGGTTGCGTTGCGTACGAAGAAGGAAAGTTTACTTTTTTGTGGTTGACGAACGAGCCAATAAAAACGACCACCTCCCTTTCTTTCCTCCTTGAACCCGTCAAATTTTCCCGATAATTCTCAATGGGGAAGACTGGATTGTTCGATCTTGAAAAGCACTTTGCTTTCTATGGAGCTTACCACAGCAACCCAATCAACATAGCGATACACATGCTCTTCGTTTGGCCAATCCTCTTCACGATTCTTCTTATCCTCTACTTCACGCCCTCGTTATTCAGTTTTGGGTTTCCGCTGTTTGGGAGCCATGTTGTTCTGGTTTTCAACATCGGCCTCTTGTTGACTTTAATCTATTCGGTGTTTTACGTCTGTTTGGATGCGAAAGCTGGCTCCTTGGCTGCTCTGCTTTGTGTTATTTGCTGGTTTGCTAGCTGTTTCCTTGCAACCCAATTGGGGTTTTCCATCTCTTGGAAGGTAATTTCTAGAGTTATTCTTAGTTTCTGTCGAAAGATGTGATCTGGGTTTCGTTTATTTTGTGAAATTATGTACTGTTTTTGAACTTTTTCTTTAAATTTCAGTCATTTGAGTGAGTGAGTTTTTAGCTGTAAATGATATTGGTGTTATTTGTATGTCTAGACTTTAGAGTTTCATTTTAGGTCATCTAACATTAACAACTTATTTTCAGGTTGTTGTGGTGGCACAGATTGTGTGTTGGACTGGACAGTTTATTGGCCATGGGGTTTTTGAGGTATTAAATATTTTATTTCTAACTCTGTCTGTGACTTCATGTCCTTTTTGTCTTCATACTCTTGAGATTTTATGTAATGATTGTAATCTGCCGCAGAAACGGGCACCAGCTTTGTTGGACAACCTTGCACAAGCCTTTCTAATGGCTCCCTTCTTTGTTCTGTTAGAGGTAATTTTGATGGATTTTTAACTTCTTGTTAGTTTGATTTTTCACTGACTTGACAATCATGATTTATGCGTTTTGTTATTGCTTCAGGCTCTGCAAAGCTTCTTCGGTTATGAGCCATACCCAGGGTTTCATGCAATAGTTCAAGCAAGGGTTGATGCTGAAATCAATGAATGGCAAGAGAAGAAGAAGAGATTGATCTCTTAGTCTGTGTAACTGAATTTAGGTTTCAGTGATGTTAATTACTTTTACTGTATTTTATGGGAATGGGAGAAACAATGCCAAAGCTTTTATCTGGTGTATAGTGTACGTGTTGTGGCTTAGAAGCTTTGAAATAAATATACCACCTGAACTTTTGAGAATGCCATGTATGGGAAACTATTTCTGTCATTTCTGACATCATGCGTGTAATTCAAATAAGCTTCAGAGTATAAGAACTTATGGAACAAAACACTTAATTTTATTTTTAATTATCTTTGACACAGTTGATATTCTGGCCTCTACAAGCATCACATTAACGTCTGGCTACGGTAAGCTTCAAGCCATGCGCCATTGATAGAATTGTCATCATCCGGTACTCAACTGGATGACCAGGGACCAAAGTGAATTTGTAAAATCTGCACAGAATGGCCAGTGCCATCTTCATTTGGAGGTATGCAGAGTCCTTCCCTAGGCATATTCTTGGGCCTGCCTGCAAATCAGAAGTGATCAAGTGTTTATGTTACTGACCTCTAACTTTTCATGGATATACAGTTAAAAGATCGCTCGGTAAACACACCTGGAATGCGGTGAACTTAAACGGTGACGCATTTTGGAAGAAACCATCTTTCAGCCATCTGTCAGGCTTGAATGAAGCTGCATCAGGTCCCCAATTGTACTCCATTCTACCCATTGAGTAGGGAACATAAGTCACCATCCCTCCTGCTTTGACTTTAGTTCCATCTGGTAGAACATCATCCTCCAAGATTCCTTTGGGGTCCTACAGCCATATACATTACTTCTAGCAAACAGCATTGACAATCTATCTTTCAATTGGGGAAAATGCATACCTGAGGGACTGCAGGGTACAAACGAAGTGTCTCGGTGATAACTGCGTGTAGATAATACAGCCTCCCCAGTGAATCATAATTCAAAAGTCCTGCAAATTGTGTTACTCTTTGATTGAATGATTCAAGGTCCTCTGTGTCATACTGGACCAACGAAACCTTCTCTTCTCTTGCTCGATCTTCTTCCAAGGTTTTGAGCTCCGAATATAGCTTTTCAGCTACATGGGAATGGGACATTATCATGTAAATGGCCCAGGAGAGAGTAGTTGCTGTAGTGTCCCGGCCAGCTATTACAAAGTTGAGGACAACATCTCTGAGGCTTTTGTCAGTTAACTTGCTTTCTGGGTCTTCGCCTAACTCAATGAATCTTGACAGTAAATCATGCTTCATCTGATCAAGAAATTGATTTCTTAGCTAATAAATCTGTTTCCTTGAGACTTCAACTACAGTGAAAAAACTAAGCAATAAGTCCCACAAAAAGTTATTATCTTACCTTGTTATTTTCGCTATTCTGGCCAGCTTCCTTGATCTCTGCTTTCCTTCTTCGAATAACAGAGTATGTAAAATCATCAATGATTTTAATGCTTTTGTCAAGTAAAGCTTCTGATCCCACATTTAAATATCTCTTTATTCTCCACAATGGATCAATGAACCGGAGTGTCACAATAATGTTTGCAGTGTCAAAGGCCTTGGCAAAGTGATTATCTGGTAGATTGGGAGCCAGAGTTCCAATTTCTACACCAAATCCCACCTTACATATGGAGTCCAAAGTCATCCTCATCAGCAGTTCCTGCACAAAATATTATATTCAGAGCTCCATTTATAGAAAAAATAACCAAGTGCAGAGACTATAATGAAATATTTTCCCACCTGCATGTCTACTTGTTGGCCTTCAAATGCTTGACTCAGAATGGCATGGAGTTTGAGGCTGTAATCTCTGAAGACTACAGTGCTGAAATCCCTCAAATTCTTGGATGCAAATTCAAAGCTTGCAGTCTTTCTCTGTTTCCTCCAAAGCTCTCCATCCGCATTAAAGATCCCATCTCCAAGCAGGACTTCCATGTACGAATGATACACTTCACCCTTCAATCAATAAAATGTGTATAGTGGGAGATTAACAAGAAATTAAAGAAAAACTAAGGACCAATTAATGTAACTAATCTCATAAATATATCAGATCACCTTTGGGTAATTGGCAAAGTTGATCTTAAGGACATGTTCAACATTTGCAGGATCTGCAATGTAAGTATAGGTTGTGAATGGCATTGGGACGACGACGGAGTTTGATTCGGAGAGGTACTTGACAAGCCAATCGTGCATCCTGTCATAGTTCATCAACTGTTCAATTGCAGCTCCCACTAGAGGCCATGTTTTGGGTCCTTTTTGGTTCTTCTGGCTCCATCTATGGACTATTATCCATGACAAAACCATGCAGACGAGCATGAAAAACCCCTTGCTGTATCCATCCTGGGAGGACAAACCTAATAACACATTGCTTTCTTGATGTTCCATTTCAGATGAAAAATCAGGGCAAGAAAGAATGAGTAATTAACTGCTTGACAGGCCTGGGATTGATTAGTTATAAATTAGAATAGCAATGGCTTAGTTAAGTGGTTGAGACTTGGGTTGTTAACAATCTTTGTATGCTCTGATGTTGATAAGGATTTTTAAAAGATTATTAAAAAAAAGTTCATCTCTTTTGTGCCCTTAACCTAATTCGTTCTAAACAATTTTTTTTTTTTGTTGGGTTAATACTGTGAAGACCTCGCAAATTTTTTTTTTGTTGGTAAAATCACTTTAATGTCTTATTTAATTGATTTTTTCTTTTGGTTATAGTGGGAGGAAAAAAACCCTAGAGTTTCGATTTGAGTGCCAAGCAAAGAAAAAAGAGAGGGCCACAACTATTATGGTAATCCCGCTCGACTTTAATTGCAAATTTAGCTAAAACAGACACCGGGAAATTATGAAAATATAATTTTGTGGTATCTTTTAGTGGAAAATATCATTTTCCATGTGACTTATTCAATTTAAATGAAGGTTGCTCAGTCAGACTTATAAACTAAAATAGGATTTTGTCAAGGACATAAATATCAAATAGGGTCCGAAATGTCATCAATAGCCCCCAAAGAAGGAAGGCCTTCGTCGACACTTTCAGTTTCAACCCATGCGTGCGTGACAGCTAGTCCTCTGTACGTCATCAAAGCAAAATTGATTTCCACGCGGCTCAGTTGACCAAGCTCATTACATTAGTAGATGCTACTTTCTTTTCTTCTTTCAGGATAAGGAAGTGTTACAAGGAACCTGTTTGAAAAAACATAAAGGAACATATTGTTTTCATTATCTTGCTTACTATGATATCTAATCAAAATAAAATAATTGTCTTAAATTTATGAAAAGGCCAAAGTCTTTAAAATTCATTTTTCTTTTCGTCATGACTAGGAGATTGGATATGACCATAATAAATTTCATCATTCCTCGATTGGTCGATCGCAATGATAAATGAGCAAATAATATGATTTTTGTCGTACTTTTGATGTAAATAAATGACTGATTTGAGAATATGGGTAAAATGTATTATAGGACTGAAAACAGCTCAAATCCATTTCATAATTTGTTTAAGATTCAACTCC